ATATCAGAAAATCACAGTATGAAAACACAGGCATAGAGAGGGTATCATCACTCACAGTACAAGGTTGAACAAAAAGGAACTCCCGATCACCCTCACCTGACTCACTGATCTGGATGCACCTCCATCGGCGTATCTGTAACCAAAATCACACAAAACCATCACCACTACCAAGACTAGCACAAGAAACTAGCTTGATAGCCCAAAACCAGCTCAACCCCATCCCGACACCAGGCATGCATCCCAAGGCACCGCTACCCGTTACCAAGACTCACGTGACTCACAACTCTCAACATTTCAGCTCAACAACCCTTAACAATAAAGAAACCAATCTCCAAAATTCTTAAACCATAGTGAACCGGCCTCTAAAACCCCCGAATTAACCTAAACCGTCTAAAACTACCTCTAAAACTAGCTTGATAGCCCAAAACTAGCTCAACAAAAGTAGAAAGTTCCCTACCTTTGGAGGTTTGAACGGCTGGTGGGGAGGAAATGGATGGTCACAAGGAGCACTCCATTAGCATAAGGGCTATTACTTGGCCAACGATGGTTGCTTGCCATTGGAACATGTTTTTCTACCACAGGCCCTACAACATATACACAGCATTGGTTAAGGTAAAACAGGGGTTTTGTTTGGTCATTGGGGTCAAAAGGTTTGTGAAATCCTTTGTTTAAACCCCCCCTCTCTCTCTCTCCCTGGATTTAAAAACTAAATACGTATGTAAGCCTAACTGGGTAAGCCTCTTAGCTATAGGAAATTTAAGCCTTTTGGGCTTAAAGTCCATTACATAAAGCCCAATAACCCAAGCACCTGGCAGTTTTGATGAACCTCAATTCAATTTCAAGATAGTGATTACTATTTACTTGAAATTTCAAAAATCTATTCCGTCACAGACTGCAATGTAGACTTGTTTAAAGAAGACCAATGATTAGCCAAATCTGAAGCATTGCCTATTTGCTAGACTAACCAACCTTCTGTTGCCTTAGCCTGGTTCGATTATGGGGACGTTTTCTGAGTCCTCCGCTTCGGACAATTTTACCCTATCCGACTATGGTCGGAGGTAACTTTCTGGCACTCATTGAATGACGTGTATAAATAAATTAAGTTTTTATAAAGAAATTTAAAATAAATAAAAATTTAATAGTGGAGTCAATTTAAAGTCTGAAACGAAAGAATAACAATGTTAAAAGACTGTTTGATTATTTGATTATTACAATTTCTGCATAAACCTTTCACAGCTTCCAAATTTTCTTACTTTTGATAGTATTTGTTTATTTGATTATTACAATGTTTAGTTTTTCTTTTTTGCTATTTAGTTGAATGGGATAATGTTGTAAAGATTGAGAAATGTTCTAAAATATTTATTATTTTTGTTTATTGTTTACACAAACACATACATATTAAATCTCACTATTGACCTCTTAAATTTAAATTAAATATCATATTAGTTCCTTAAATTGAAAATGAAATATTGATATCTCTCAAATTTAATATATGTTCTATTATTGCCCTTTCAACTAATTTTCGACTATTTTCTATTCACTTGGTAAGGATAAATTTGTCATTAAAAAAATAAAACAAAATCTACAATTTTTTAAAGATGCAGATAATTTCATAATTTTATAATTTAATAAAATTAATTTATAATTAAACAAAATTACATTATCCAATACCTAGGTAATTATTAGATATTTACTGCTATTTCTCCTATTTGAGTTGAGAAAAAAGAATTTATTTTATGAATCTAAAAATATAATTAATTTCTATTTTTTATGAATTAAACCTTAAATTAACCGTATAAAATTCCAAAATTATTACTTATAAAATTTTTTTAAAGAGGTTTGGCCTTCTTTTTATAAACCAAATTGTATTCAAAACTTACTACATCCTAAAAAAATTATAAATTTTACCTATTATTTCTTAATAACCAATTTACCCTTATTAATTGACTAAAAATGGAAAAAAAAAAGGACCAAAGGATAATAAAAGAATATATATTAAACTTAAATGACATAAATGTTATTTTTTAATTTGAGAAATTAACATGACATTTGATTTAAACTTAAGGCACCAATAATAAAAATTTTAGTTATATATATATTAAGGTAACAAAAAGAATTTAATCTTAAAACAAATTAAACATTACACCTATTCAGGATTTTTTTGGAAAAAATGAAAAAAACAGGTATTCTAGCCTTTTGTAATTAACATAATTGTTCTTAAATTGATGGTGTTGGAGCATGACTTTATTCATATAAAACCTGCTCATCACTATTACTTTAGCTTTTAATTTCTATTGTTTCATGAAATTAGGATTATGAGAAAAAAAATTGGATTAGATTTTAGAATATTGGAAAGAAGTAAGAAAAATTGCCATTATTTGTAATTTTTTTATTTAATTGATGCCCCACTACTCTCAAAACTGTAACCCCGCCACTGACTCGCTGGCAGGCTCGAGCACCGGATCCCGGTGGAAACGACCTTGGTTTCCATGGATTCCAGCAGAGCAGAGACTCGCTTCGTGGGAAAGGGGAACAGAGATACGGGAATCAGGCTATGACGTATTCTTCCACGTCTCTCGAGTTTAGGCAATTTCCTGGGAAGATGACTAAATATACACACGGTGCTCATTTTTAATAGCATCCACCGTTGCTTAGTCAATGACAATGAAAAGCCGCACCACTGGCCTTTCATCACTATTACTTTCAGCTTTAATTTCTATAGTTACATGAAATTAGGATTATAAGAAAAAAAAAAATGGATTAGATTTTAGAATATTGGAAAGAAGTAAGAAAAATTACCATTATTTATAATTTTTTTATTTAATTGATGCCCCACTACTCCTAAAATCTTCCACATGAGTTTCGGCAATTTTCTGGAAGATGACTAAATATGCACACGATGCTCATTGCTAATAGCATCCACCGTAGCTCAGTCAATGATAATGAAAAGCCACACCACTGACGGGTGGACACTTATCACGTGGATCAACCGTTGATTAAGTTTCTACGTTTTTTCATCTATGAACAAGGCCACAAGATCTTAGCCATTGGATGCCCTTCTCGTGACATGGAGTGTTCGTCCGCACCTGTTAGATTCCCAGAATTCTATAGACAACGTAACGGACAGAGTAGATTATTTTTTTACCAAAAAAAAAAATCAATGAATAATTTTTAAATTAACAAAAAATCAAAAACTAATTACTTTCAACAATTTATGGAAAGGCGCAACTCCGGTACTGTGAAGGAAGAAGATTACAAAGAAAAGAACAAACAAAAAAGATATCCGTCGGACCATAGGAAAAATTCTGGAATGTAGTAATTTGCTTTTTGAAAAGACTGGGTGATCATTGGCTGGTAATTATAAATTTCATAACCATAAGTGAAATTCATGCATGTGATTGACATCAAACCCCAAAAATTAGATATGGAATAGGTAAAACAAACCATCCAGTGGATGTTTGGTTAGGCCGTTTGCTATTTTCATTTATAATAAAAACACAAAAATAGGTTTGAAAGCGTGTTTAGTACATCATAGGGTTGTCAATGAGTAGGATTTTAATCCGAATTCGATCCGAATCCGATCCGAATTTTAAGCTCTTTAACCGATTAAAATATCTGATAGATTAAATCCGATTATAAATATCCGTAATCCGAAATAAGTAGACCGGATATGGAATTAAGCAATCCGATCCGTTAAAAATCCGAATCCGAAATTTTTAATAATATTTTTTATTTAATTAATAATCATATATATATATATTAATAAATACTTATATATAATATATGTGATATTATAATTAATAATGCACTAATTTGTATTTGTAAGATATTTTATTTAATAGAATAATAAATATTTTTTCTAAATTTTTCTATAATATTCTTTTACTTTTCATAATTTTAGTTTTTATATTAGGTATTTATATTTAATAATTAATTATTTTTAAAATTTTATAAAGTACTTGAATAAATTGATTACAAATGTTTATAAGTTTTAATTATAATACGAATAAAACTTGATAACTTTATGAAGTATTGGAGTTTTATTATAACTTTTATAATATATTATATAACAAAAATTTTTCTTAATTATTTATAAATAACAATTTATTTCTAAATTTTATTTATATTTTTAAAAAATCAAAATAATTAAATATAAATATTACATAAATTTTTATTATTCATAAATAACAATTTTTCATGAATATTATTTATATTTTAATAAAATTAAAATAATTAAATATACATATTACATAAATTTATATCATGAACTTTGTTATATCAACGTTTTGTTGAATTTTTCTCTAATCATTTTAAATAATACCCCAATTATGAATTTAAGATTTAGTGATTAAATCAAAATTCAGAATTTGTGACTATTTTACCTTACAGGGTTAGCAAATAGGAAAGAGTTCATAAGGTGGAATAAGTATGATATACAATACTTGTTAGAATTTTGCAAAACATTGTAAAAATAGAGTAATGTACGTAATATAACATTTAGAACATATGTTTTGATGGTTAAAATTTATTTGCTTATTAAACTAATATGTGATTACTACTAATAATTTTTAGTTTCAGATTTTTATTATATTCAATTATGTCAAAATATTTTATTTTTTAAAATATTGAAATATATTATTATTATTATTATTATTATTATTATTAAAAACTCACACATACATTTTTGTGAATTATTCACCTAACTATAATTGTTTATAATATATAATATAATTTATTGTGTATGTTGTTGTAACGCCTCAATTATAATTTAAGATTTTTAATATTATTAGTTCCATGTTCTTGGTCCTAAATTGCTAGAATTAAATAGTCTTGGAATGGGTTTAAATGTAATTATGATTTTAGGGCTAATTAATAATTTATATATGAAAGAAGGACCAAGAGAGCAATTAAGCTCTCTCAACCTTTAAGAGATGGCAACCCATCTCTCCTTTTGTTTTGCTTCTTTATTTCAATTGACTAGAAGCTTCCTTCTTAAACAGTTAGGGCACCAAAGTTTGATCAAGTGAGGGCTTCTTCTTGCTTCTCAATCGACTAGAAGCTTCCTTCTTAAACAACTGGTTTCTGGTGGGTGGGGAGAGAGTTATCTTTCATGCCAAGACAAGGTGAGTTCATCAAGATTTGCATCTTCTTTTTTCTGCTTTCTCTTCCAGGTTTCAATGTCTCTATCCATGCTTCCTTCCATCGAGAAATTATGTAGGGCCGAAGAGTTTTTGTCTTTTTAACTCCTCCTAATTAGCAAATTCAAGGCGATGTTTGGTTTTAGATTTTTTCCTCTTTATTTAACGAGAGTTCTGGAGAGAAGATTAGAAATTTATGAAGTAAATGTTTGGTTCTTACAAATTTTGCATCTAAAAGCCTTTTCAAAGAGATAAGAATTTTCTTTTAAAATAGATGGGCATAAATGGAATCCAAACATCCTATCCAGTTCCACAAAAGGGATTATATTGGAAACGTGGGGGCTGATGTGGGGGCGGGCCTCGTCCCCTTCCCTTGCGGCGTAGTCAAGGCTGCTAACTCTGTTGAAGAGCGCCGAGTACAGGCGGCGCAGTCGCAGCCTCTCTGCGTTGGGTCTGCTCTGGATAAGCATGTACACATCCTGCTTTAGGGCCACTGCACTCTGCCGCAGCTCCCTCTGCACCTCCTTCCATGACTCAGGCGCGGGCGACACCTCCAGCAGCACCTTCACCCCCAACAGCCTCCGCGCGTGTTCTCCGATCCCGCTTTCCGCCTCCTCCACCGTCTGGTCTGGCGCCACCATCCTCAGATCCAACGCTCTCCCCAGCTCCGCCAGCAGTAGCATCAAAGCCATGGAGATTCCTCCTGTCACTATTGATCTTCTAGTGAGAGATGGAAGATGGGACAGTGAGATGGGTTTTGTGGGATTACGGTCACCCCCCTGAAATTTATCAAAATATCAGAAACCACACCAATGTTCCTAACATTAGTGATGACCTCCCTGCGGCTTTGATTTCGGGTAAAAATCACCCTGTGCAAGCACAATCACCTAATCCGAGATTTGTGAACTGTTGGAACCTAATTCAGGAAAATGTTCTGGTAAAGTTGGGAGGGTGCTTGAGATTTTGACTTACAGATTGTTTGGTTGATGAGTTTTTTTTTTTTAAATAGATTTTTGTTATTCATATGAATTATATTTTTATTTTTTATTATGAAAAAGTTAGCTGTGTGAGATGTTTGATTTAACTGCTGTTTTATACTTGTTGGAAGATTACCTATCACCAACAGCTAAAGCTATCTAGACTCATGGTTTCAAATATATGAACAATAGCATGTATTGGTATAATCTAAGTGGGAAATCTTTCTTCAATTTGCCCTCTCTGATTTCTTGTGAAAAGCTCAAGTAGAATACAAGTGGTTTCTGGGTTTGTCTCGTAGTTTCAAAACTCTTCTTCCTGATTAGCTTATTTTTTTAAAGCAGCATATTGGCAGTATGTGTTGTATTCCTCTAATTGGTACAATTGTGTCTTCACATGTAGAGAGGATATCCTTCAAGTTCTAATTTTGTTCTTAGTTTGGAGCCTCTCACTTTGTCTCTACAGGTGACTTTAGGCTACTTTAGAAGAATAGGGGACATGGAAAGGCTTTTCTTTTTATTGATATATTACTATTTACATAATATATAATTAGAAAACAATGACTAGTCAATATAGAAAATGTAGACAAAGCAACTTAAACTTAAATTCTGATTATATAATTCTATAATTTAATTTAAATTTATATCTTAATTTTGTACTTTATAATTTATATGGAAGGATAACCAAATGATCTCATTTATTTGTTTTGTGTTGATTATCACCAGGTAACTAATTAAAAGCCAAAATAACAAATGTCAGATATTATCAAAGGCAAGGATGGTGCTCAAGAAATGGAGGGGACTACAATTAATAAGTCAAGGGATGACAATGCAGAAGTTATTGAATATGGGCGAAAAAGAAGAAAGTTAACATCTCAGGTATGGCTTGAATTTGAAAAGATCAAAAGCTCGAATGGGGTAGATAAGGCTATTTGTAACCATTACAGAAAATCATTCATAGGATCTAGTACTAGTGGGACATCACACCTAAAAAATCACTTACTAAGATATCCATTGAGAAATTATGTATCTAAAGGCCAAAACATTCTTCAAACAATTAAAGAAGGAGCTAGAGAAAATCCTAATGTTATAGTGAAAATTTTCAAATTTGATCAAGAAAAAAGTAGGCTTGACATGGCAAGAATGGTTATGAAGCATAACTATCCCTTCAACATGGTTGAACATGAACTTTTTCAAACATTTGTGAGTAATTTGCAACCATCCTTCAAAGTTCATTGCAGAAATACCCTTAGAGCTGATATACTTAAAGTTTACAAATTAGAAAAAAGTAAATTGTACAAGTTACTTGATGAGCTGCCTAGTCGTATTAGTCTAACAACTAATATGTGGACTTGTGGCCCTCAGAAAATAACTTATTGTTGTTTGACAGCCCACTTTATTGATGATAACTGGGTATTAAGAAAAAAAATCCTTGCATTTGCCAATGTAGAGTCAAGGCATGATGGAGAATCTCTATTTGAAATCATTAAAGGCTTGCTTTTAGAGTGGAATATTGAAAAAAAAATATGTTCTCTAACTGTAGACAATGCTACAGCAAAAAATGTAATGACTAGAGAACTAAGGGCTTGGATTTGTGAGCAAAGTTCACTTCCTTTGTTTGGAGATATATTTCATGTTAGATGTGCTGCACATATTCTTAATCTTATTGTGCAAGATGGGTATAAAGTAATAAATGGTTTGCTTCAAAAGATAAGAGACTCTGTTAGTTATGTGAATAGTTCTCCACAAAGTAAGCAACAGTTTCAGAATGTTTTAAGCCAATTAAAGTTGGAAAATAAAAGCAAACCAGGTGATGATATTCCAAATAGATGGAATTCAACTTACCTTATGCTTGAAAGTGCCCTTAGACTCAAGGAAGCATTTTCTCGCTTACAGCAAGTTGATAGGAACTTCAAAGCAAATCCATCTAAAGAAGAGTGGGAAATTGGAGAAATTGTGTGCAAATGTCTAGAGGTATTTTATGACACCACATGCAAATTTTCAGGTGTGACGTATACTACTTCTAACATCTACTTTCCCATTGTTTGTGGAATTCAAAGACATTTAATGGGATGGGAGGAACATAGACAATTATATGTTCAAGATATGACTGATTTAATGAAAGATAAGTTCAACAAATATTGGAAAGAGTGTAGTTTGGTTATGGCACTTGGTGTGATTCTTGATCCTCGCTATAAATTAGATGTTGTTGAGTATTTTTTGAATGAAATTTATGGTATAAGTGCTGAAAATCAATTGCTGAAAATTCGAACAACACTTGCTCACATGTTTCATGAGTATAAGGGTAATGTTTCTTCATCTTCACTATCCGTTGATTGTGATGTTAGTTATACAACAAAATCCCATGGAACCAGTGTTAGTTCCTTGCAAGGGTTTAAGAAATGGTATGAACAAACTTGTGCTGCTAATGTTATTGCTTCTCGAAAGTCTGAGCTTGATAAGTACCTGGAAGAGCCTATTGTGTGTGATTCAGAGTCTGATAAATTTGATATTTTAAGTTGGTGGCAGGATAATGCTCCACGGTTTCCTATTCTTGGGAAAATGGCTCGAGATATTCTAGCCATTCCTATATCAACCATTGCTTCTGAATTTGCTTTCAGTATTGGAGGAAATGTTATTGAACCAAGTCGCCATGCTCTAGGTGTAGATATTGTGCAGGCTCTAATGTGTGGACAAGATTGGATTGAGTTATCTAAAGAAAAAGGTAAAAACACTATCTTCTTTAAATATTTAATCATCATTATTTTTTTTCACTTTATAATTGTTGATGAATCTAAATGTTGGTGCTTTTAATTTTATAGTATCTCGTCGAGTTTCAAAGACTTCTACAATGAAGTCTAAATCTTTAATCTAGCTCTCTCTAGTGTTCAAGGTATGTGTGTCATTTTATTTCCTTTCTTTTTTCTTGTATTAGTAGTTTTACGACTTTTTTAGTCTCTTAAAATGATATTATGTTAATATCAAGACACTTGATAATTCTAATCTTATCTAGCTTCTTATTTGTAGGTTTTATTTTGCATGACTCAGCTTTTGCCTATGACTTTTGTTGCTGAGCTTATTTTGTATGAGGCTTATCTCCTTACTGTCAATACTTCTAGTAACAAGTATTGCATATGGGATGTTAATTTTTGACCATCAATATCTTTTGGCAAACTCCTTTTGATCTTTTGATGGTTCAATTACAGATATTACATTTGGGATAAAAGGTGAGATCAATTTTAATTTTAATTTTGATTAAATTATATATATTCTAAGAATGAATTGGTGTTACATTTTATAACATTTTTGTTTTACTTATTAAATATGTAAGTGGAGCTTCTTTCGATTCTTTTGGTCTACTACATTTGGAGAAATGGAGCTTTTTGAAAGGAATTTCAGCAAAAACATTTTGCATGCCCAGTCAAAAAGATGAAATGTGGTCTTACAGGTAAATTAATTTCTTATAACTTTTATAATTATAATGAAAATGACTCTTAACTTGGGACTCTATATTTAAGTATTGTTTTGCTTGTTATTTCTTATCACCTAGGAGGTAATTCTGCACAAGTACAAGCCTATTGCTTCAAGGAAATTATATATCCATAGTATTATTTGTTTCTCAGGTAATTTTCTTATTGCTGGCTCCAAGAAAATTATTGCAAAAGAGAAAAAAAGATTGAATAGTTTAAAAATGTAGTTAATAAAGCGGATCAGAAAAATTGGAGGAAACTGATGACTAAAATTCTTAAGACTACCTCTGCAATTTCAGTACTCAGAAGCTAAAGGAATAGGAATCAGCCCCTACTTAGGGATCTTGTTCTTTGCACCCTGGTCAGATTTAAGCAGTTGAAGAAATGGAACATTGTTAGTAAGGTATTTATGGAGCTAATTTCTATGTTCTACTTATCTCTTTTCTTATTTTGTATGTTTTTCTTTATGCATTTAATAGATTCAAACAATGGTAGTTTGAAGTCAATAGATTATGAACCAATGGTGAAAATTTGAACCAATTTATTGAAATATGGCTTCCCACCGATTTTATATGTTATGGTGCTAGTTGAGGGTTAATCCGAGCTACCTTTTTATTTGACCTCTGATGCGGGTGCTGTGATATATGGATTAGCATGCCTGGTATACTTCCAACTTGATGATAGTTGAACGCAGATTTTAAAGCTAATTTTATGCTTTGGCTATAAATGTGACTTTGCTGAGTTGTTCTTGAATACAAATAGTTTTTATCTAGCAAAGACTTGTAATTTTATTGTTATAATTGTTTGTAATTTTCTTATATAGTAATTTTCTTTTAACCAATCTTACCCCATTACTAATAGGACAATATAGAGAAAAAACAGGAGGGTGTTTCCACGGAAGTGAGGTGACCATTACAAATAATTTTATAGTAATTTTCTTTTAACCAATCTTGCCCCCATTTACTAATAGGACAATATAGAGAAAAAACAGAAAGATGTTTCCAAGGAAGTGAGGTGACCATTACAAATAATTTTATAGTAATTTTCTTTTAACTAATCTTTCCCCCATTACTAATAGGACAATATAGAGAAAAAACAGGAAAGATCTTCAAATGGTTTTTATTTAGGGAAGGTATATGATGGAATTCCTAGAGATTTGATTATTGCTGGCTTTAGAGAAAAATGTGTCACAAATTACTATATTGTGTGTTAATGAAATCAATATGTATTATATATTATAAATATAAA